AGGGGCTACTCAGGCGCATGCGGCATATAGACTTGAGGTTGTGCTTTATCCAAGACCGTGTCCATAGCGGCGAGTTGGCAGTAGAGGGAGTAGCCGGAACCGAGAATGTGAGCGATCTTCTCACAAAGAATTTAAATCGCCTCCAAACAGCAAAGCATACAGCAACCCTCGGACTAGAAGATGTCACCAACATCGATTTCCGAGAGGTCCCGGCAGTCAGGTCTTGCTTGTTGCTGTCTGGAGTGCTAGATTCGATACTCGGGCCGGACAACCTCGAATACGAAGCTTTCTGTCGGCTATGCGAACTCGAGACTGAATATTCAACTTTGCTGATCGAGTTTTGCACGAGTTCACGTTCGAATCTGTACCTGCAAGGAAGTGTGCACCAAGTATTCGTCTTGCCGATTACTCAAGGGGTTGACGGGACCTTGAATGACACCGTGGAGCGGGTCATGTCTGCAATGAATGTTGCAAGAGAATGGGGGATGAAGGTTGTCTTCTGGAGCAGCACTCCTTGTACCGGAGGTAGCCCGTACCAACGGCGACACGAAGATCGGCCGGGCTATCAGGACCATCTACAAGCTTTGTTCACGGTGCATCGCAAGCTCTGGCGGAGCTTCTTAGTGATGGTGAACCACCCGCAAGTGGGGGTATGGGTCATAGAATGGCCGCAGCGGTGTGCCTACTGGGGATGGGCAAGCACCCGTTCGTTTGCAAAGCAAAGAACCCATTACACTGGCGAAGTGCACGGCTGTGTTTCAGGCTTGGTAGGCAGAGATGGATTACCTATCCGAAAGATTTGGAAACTGATGTCGAACGATGAACAGTTTGTGCGAACAATGTCCGAAACGTTTGCATGTACCTGCAAGGGAGATCATTCACGAAACTTTGATCTCAAAGAAACGCAGCACTATCCGCCAGCTTTCGCGGACGTCGCCCTGGAAAGCTTGCGACTGCGGTAATTTGAGCCCACCCGCCCGCCCTGGCTGACCCGCCCACCCGCCCAGCCAGGTTACTTTGCGAGAGTCAGTCGACCTCCAGCGGTCTGAAGCAGTGCAGCGGTCTAGGACTGAGGAATGCGCCGGAATCCATGGCCCGGCGAGAAGCTTAGTTGGCTTTGCGTGGAGCTTAGTTGACGTGACCAACAGTGAAACTCTTGGTCATGAGGGGGAGTTGATATATGTGACTGGCTCAAGATCTCGGCTCAACCCCGGTGGGGTGCACAGGTAGCAGAGCGGTAGCTGTGTGAACCAGCCTCGAGTCCCCTAACTGTTTTGGGTACCAGGCCTGCTTTTTCACAGCCTTCATTTGAGCCATGTCCAGAGCACCTGTGCAGTCGAGATCCTCACTGCCAGCAAGTGATGGGTTGGAGTCATCTCACCCAACTTGCTCTGCAGAGAGCCAGAAAGAAGGCACGGCCCGACTGGAGGGCGAAGCAGCCCGGCTTGGGGAACTCTTCCCTTATGCGAGTCCTCTTACAGCCGGCTGTGGAGTTTCTCCAGCCTTGGAAGACCAGGTAAGTTGCTCGAGCAGCCTGGCAAGTGCAGAGCGAACTTGGGCCCATAGAGCCAATTGTGGCTCCAGCCAAGGCAGGACTTTTCACCAAGCACTCTGCTTTCGCTGGTTTCACAAGGGCCGGAAAGAATGGCTGCTCCTCGCAGAGGACAGCAGCGTGTATTTTGTTCGCACCAGCAAATCCGGCAAAACAGTTAGAGCCGGACCTTGTGGGCAATGGCGATGCATGGAAGACCCAGCAGAGCTCCACGGGGGAACGGGGGGCGACCCGCCCGTGCAGTGGCTTCGCCTGTTGAACTTAAACTGCACTGGCTGTGGTAATATTCCAACCCATAACCTCAGTTTTGTGCCAGGTCCTGGGAAAAGGCAACCAGCGATCTTGCACGGAGAGGATGGAAGACGCATCGAGCTCCACTGTGCCCTTTGTCTAGAAAACTTTCTAGCTTGCACGTGGAGCTGGCCGAGTTTTGACCAAGCAGTTAGGAGACCGGTGTTCCTGGACGACGCTTCCCTTGCTGACTTGCGTCAGTTAGGTCACCAAGTTATGCAGCCCGCACAGCCTTCGCTGGTTCCGCTGTCTTCTGCAGCCAGCGCACATGGCTGGACTTTCCTTGAGGAAGGGTGTTCTCAGGATCCAGACTCCCCAGAAGAAGCATGCAGCAGTGATTGGCAAGTGTGTGGCTTTGAAGATTTGGAAGACATCCCATGGGAGGTCTGACCTACTTCAGCCCCAACCCACCCAAATTGCAGGAGCTTTGCCCTGCCAGAATCAAGGGCGAGACTATCCCCTCCGGAATCCATTCAGGGTGAGGCTTCTCCCCGTTTCAATCAGTGACGGTCTTTCGAGTCCGTTTCCAAATTGTGAGTGCCTAAGGGCACCAAAGAGAATCTTGCATAGAATTGGATCATGATTTGATCGCATAAGGTTGCAGGTGTAAGAATGCAAGCAAGCAAGTGCTCAGTCCCGGCACATACCCAGATCCATCCATCGGAATATTCGCAGTCGTTCCGTTGGTCACCCTGCAGGACAAGCCGCCTTGATGTGGCTTTAGTACAGCCTGACACCGGTTTGGCCCCCTTGTTCGGTCTGTAGAGCAGACCGCTGGACCGGGTTTTCGGGCTCAGGAGCTTGCGGGTCTTCCACAGGCCCAACACGGGGTTCTCGCAAACACAGCGCCCGAAAGGATAACGTTAGAACCGGACCCTGAAGATCCTCACTGGTTGATGAGGGGAGGGAGCGCGCTGAGATGTTGGGGAACGGACGAGGATCCTAGTACTTACCGGTCGGTTGTGGCCGAGGGCATGCTGCCCGGCATCAGTTTGGGGTTACCCGTGTTTGGCCTGCCGAGGATTTCCTTTGAGTTTCCTGCAGGGTGCTGTTGTTTCTCTCCGGGTGGTGCAAGCCCATCCTGGAGGAAGCCTAGCGGCAGGCGTTGTTTGGTAGGGACCAAAACCTAGGCTGACGGACAGCCTGAGGCACCAGATTGCGGAGGTTAAAGGCTGTGGCTCGGTGCCCGAAAGCCTGCCCAGCTGAGATGCCCAAATCAACCAAGCCCTCCCTGCGTGCAAGTGGTGTGGGCTCCTCTGGAGCCGCTGAGGTTGAACCAGTGAGTGTGTGCGAGAAAGCTGGTCCTCCTCCCTGGTGAGTAAGTGCGAGAAAACCAGGTCAGCATACGGGGCAAACAGGAGCTCAGTGCTGCTGCGGCATGAGTTTCTGGGGCCTAGGTTAGTAAGTGCGAGAAAGCTTAGGCCTGCTCCGGAGGTTGGCGACTTTTGCCTTCCACTTGTTTGCAGTTTGTACAGGCATTGCCCATGTGTCGGTTCCGGACCTTCTGCCTTTTCTGAGTGAGCCGAATGTGGGTGAGTTTCTCCCCTGTACAGGCAGGGCTTATAGGGTAGGCAGTACAGACCAGGCAGTTCAACCTGCAGAACATTTGCCTAGGGCTTTGTACAGAGCCAAACCAGTGAGTAGCCGTAGGCCGCCGAGCTTCTCGCGGAACTGGTTAAGCCCTCATTGCTTTCTCTCGGTGTTCCCTGCACATAGTTCGGCCGTGTTAAGCAGGCCAAGGACACCTCGAGAGTTTTTCCTTTTCTGTGCATCGTTAATACCTTCCGGAACTTCGGTTCCGAAGAGCCTAACCTGGCTAGCGACGCAGCCCGCTTTCGAGTGATATATGTGACTTGTTGTTAGGGACCAATGCTTGGCTGACGGACAGCCAGAGGCACCAGATTGTGGAGGTTAAAGGCTGTGGCTCGGTGCCTGAAAGCCTCCCAACTGAGCTGCCCAAATCAACCAAGCCCTCCCTGCGTGCAAGTGGTATGGGCTCATTGGAGCCGCTGAGGTTGAACCAGTTAGTAAGAGCGAGAAAGCTGGTTCCCCTCCCTGGTGAGTAAGTGCGAGAAAGCCAGGTCAGCAAACGGGGCTAACAGGAACTCAGTGCTGCTGCGGCATGAGTTCCTGGGGCCTAGGTTAGTAAGGGCGAGAAAGCCTAGGCCTGTGCCGGAGGTTGGCGACTTTGCCAAGCCACTTGCGTTCAGTTTAGTACAGGCATTGCCCATGTATCGGTTCCAGACCTTCTGCCTTTTCTGAGTGAGCCGGAAGTGGGTGAGTTTCTCCCCTGTACTGGCAGGGCTGATAGGGTAGGCAGTACAGACCAGGCAGTTCAACCTGCAGAACATTTTGCCTAGGGCTTTGTACAGTGCCAAACCAGTGAGTAGCCGTAGGCCGCCGAGCTTCTCGCGGAACTGGTTAGGCCCTTTTCTTCTCTCGGTGCTCCCTGCACATAGTACGGCCGTGTCAAGCAGGCCAAGGACACCTCGAGAGTCCCTTTTTCGTAATACCTACCGGAACTCCGGTTCCGAAGAGCCTAATCTGGCTAGCGACTCAGCCCGCTTTCGAGTGATATATGTGACTGGCTCAAGTTTCGGCTCAACCCCGGTGGGGTGCACACAGTAGCTGAGCGGTAGCTGTGGTGAACCAGCCTCGAGTCCTCAAACTGTCGTTGGGGAACAGGCCTCATTCAACCCCAGCTTGACCGTAGTTAGAGCCATCTGTGTGTCAGTGCAAGGCGAGTCTCTCCCTTGTTGCTAGGCTGAGCAGCAAGTGAGTCTCTCCTTGTTCCCTCCGGCCTCTGGCCTGGGGTCCCCCACACCACGGCGGGCAGAGAGCGATCTCGCACCCCCGAGGTGCAGCGCTTTGGGGTAGCCGAGAGGGTTCCCTTGGAGGAATCAATCAAGCCCTATTTACAAGCCGAGTTCGAGGAGCAGCCCAGTGCCCGTGACCTCACACCGGGGCAGAGGGTCACAAACCAACTCCGTGCTTTGGCTCGTTGGTCTAAGACCAGGAACGACTGGATCGTTGACGCTGGGAAACTTCTGTCGGAGGCCCGCCGGCAGAAGTGGTGTGCCGAACTCAATAAGTCCAACATCTGAGCCCTTCTTCAGACTAGGAGCCTCTGTTTTCTACTTGGCCCTTCCTGACCAAGATGAGCTTCACAACCTGCGAGCATTGCTTCACAGGATGGGTTCCTCGCCAGGACCTAGCTTGGTATCCCACCTGTTGGCATTGTGGCAAACCGTGGAAAAAGAAGCCAAAGAAAACGGGGACTTGGTCCTGGGGCACTGAGAGGAAGTGGACGCCAGAGAGGGTGAGAATCTCCCCAAAAGCTCAAAAGGGCCACAGAGCTGTGAAGGCCCTAGATCAGGCATGGCAGCACCTGGACGAAGGAGCCCGGACTGCGTTAGAAGCGGCAGGCTGGACCCCGACGCACCCGCAACCACCCCCGGGCCTGGAAGCCAGAGGAGCCATGTCTGATCAAGAATATAAGGAGGCCGCACAGAGCCTGTGGAACGGAGCGGATGAAGCAGCCAAGATTCTGCTCAAGGAAGCAGGCATCGAGGAGCCCAAGGATGAGCAAATGGAGGAGGTTCCACCAAAAGTGCGACTTCAGAAAACAATGGCGGCCTACAAACAGAACACGAATGAGCTTCGCTCGCTCATTGCCAAGAAGGTTCAGCTCCAAAGCCGCACCGAAAGGCTCAAGGAACAGTTTGAGCAGAGTATGAAAGAACTTGCAGCAATGTCGGAGAAAATCGCCCAGAAAGAGCAGGACATCCTCAAGATCCAATCTGCAGTCAAGGAGCAGGTTGAAAAGGAGGATCAACCAAAGCAGGCCGTTGAAGCCAGCAGGCTCCTAAGATGTGCCGGCATTGCCCTCACGCCTGAGCAGCAGGCGCAGCTGAACAAGCATCTCAGACATGAGGCCGAAGAAGGGGAGCCCCAGAATTTCCCCACCTGGAAGAAGGAGGTGGGAGTACCCGCCGAGTTGATAGGTGCTGCCCTTCCAGAGGGAACAGAGTTCGGCCCGACAAGAAGAAGATTGGATTTTCGGAGTAGCCCAACCGAGGGTCGAGCTACTCCCCTTGAAAGTCAGGATGAGCATCTGTAGGGCACAGGGCCACAGTGGAGTGAGGCGCGGCACTCCCTCTGGCAAGGGCCCGCAGCGAACGCGTCACAGTTTTGCAGTATAGCAGGTGGATGTGCACTGTTGGAGCAGCCAGTTTTTCTGCCTCCTCAGGAGGGTCACAGGCTTCGGCGCCATTGGAGACCGAAGCAAGGAGGCAAGGAGACCCAGGGCAGTCAAGGCCCGCGATTGAGCCCTGTGGTCAAATATGTTCTAAACAGGCTGGACTCCGCCTGCAAGACTTACACGACCATGGCTCATGATGAGCAAGCCCCAGTTCCCACACATGGGTTTGGGGCGCAATTTTGCAGCACTCCGACTACTCTCGACTCTGACCGAGGAGCTACTCCCCTGCTCTTACCGGTGGATACGGAGCATGAAGAGAGTTTCTCCTTCAGCACGCAGGAGCAGCCTGTTTGTGCAGAAGGTACGGCTAGTGTAAACAAGTGGCTTTCGAGGAGTAGGAGAAAGACCACTCCCAGAAAGACAGCACTGGCCTTTGTTAAAGCGGAGTCGCCAGTCGGCCTCAGTGGCCCCAAATTCTTTCCCGCGTCTTTGCTAGATGATAGCGACATGACGCAAACCCCAGCAACTTGTACAGCTTCAGTGGGAACCAGACTACCTTCAGGGCATACTGGTCAAAAAACCAGGAAGAAGCATGCCCTTGTGGAACCACGAAACCGAAAGCAAGCCAAGCTGTGGCACAAGTTAGAGGTTCAACTCGACGGGCAGCACGCTATCAGTGCCGAAGCCGAAGAGACGATCATTGAACTAGCGGACCAAGCCCCTCAGAACGAAGGGCTCTTGGAGCACTGGACCTTGGAGCAGCTTTTCAGCTGTGCTTCTCGAGGCCCGTCGGTAGGGGTATCACCCTTGAGGATGGCTCTCAAGGACGTGCAGCAGCAGCTAAGCCTTCCCTCCAAAGAACCACTTCAAATTCGCTCTTCCAATGTCACAAGTTGGAGGGCGGAAATTGTTACCTGGCTTGACCAACTCAAGGAGCCGGTAGTGTGCCTTCAAGAAACCCACCTTATCGGAGACTCAAGAGAGTCAGCGGCCCGGAAAGCAGCACGATGCGGCTATGAGTTGCATGGCGGGTCGGGCTCCCCTGGTCAAGGGAAAGGCGTCCTCGGAGGTACGGGGATCTTGGTCCGTAAGCATTGGCAAGCCCAGTTCTTAAATCATGTTTCTTTCGAGGGGGGCGGTTTCACAGCAGTTGCGGTCAGAACAAGACAGGCGGAGATTGCATGCTTCAGCGTCTACTTGCGGTCAGGTGTAGCGTATGATTCGCACCCAAACGCTGAAATCCTGTCCCGCCTAATGGCAAATATAAAGGCTCACTCCGGGCACTGGTTTGCCATAGGGGATTGGAATGTGGCTCCAGAGGAGCTCCTGGCCAGTAACATCCTCAGTGAACTTCAAGCCTACCCGATTGTGACTGGGCAGGCTACGTGTGATAGTGGCAACGAACTTGACTACTGCATCTGCAGCAGCAAGCTCAGGAGCATCTCCAGCATCGCTGCAGATTGGACTGCTCCACATCGGCCCCACTCTAGCCTGATCCTCACTTGCGATACGATGGGGGGCCAGTGTAAGGTTTTCCAGCTTCCTGCGTTTGGACCTGTTGGAGAAGTGGCAGGGTGTAGCAGGAAAATGCCGTGCATCACGCATATCAAGTGGATGGGGCGCGAGATTTCTGATGAAGTCTCGCTGGCATTTGCCGCCCTGGCACAAGAGTGTTCGGCAACGGTGTGTCCCGAAGAAACCGCAGTCCGGGGCATCACCTTGTCATTGAAACACGGTCGACTTCTGGCCCCGTCCAAAGTCTATAAGTACACGGACAATCATGCAAAATGGCAGAGGCTGCAGGTCTGGACAAATAAAACCCCCCAAAAAATCATCAAAGCCGAAGAGCTCGAGAACCTGTTGTCAGGCCTGATTGATTCCGAGGCCCAGGAAATCAATGGCGACAAACAGGCAAAGATCAAATCCCTTCTCGCCGGGGAAGATGACATCGACACCCGCAAGTGGATTGAGGACGAAGCTTCAAAGGCCCAAAAGGAGCACGTCCGTTGCGACAAGGAGCGTTACAAGGAGTGGCTTGACGGCGCCGTTCAGAAAGGAATGAGGCCTCTCTTCCGTGCCATGAAAAGCCATGAATCTGGTCTGGATAGGCCTTTCCAAACAATGGAACCCATGCTACGTCCATACTGCCGATTGGCCCAGTGGCAACCGATCTGGCAAGGAGAGTTCGAGCCTGTTCCAACCGTTTTTCCCCTACTGCTCGAAGAAGCCAAGCGAGAGGCCGAGCTACTCCCTCCGCTAGACCCGCTGGCAATCATGCTCCGCATCAAACGTCTGCCTCTGAAAGCCCCAGGACCAGATGGATGGACGATTCCCTTCCTTAAAGCCCTGCCTGAAAAACGGGTCGAGGATCTCACCCATTTCTTTCACCTTGTGGAAAAAACCGGCCAGGCCCCGCATCAGTGGTGTACCACTCAGGTCACCATGCTTGTTAAGTCGGAAGAGATTGAACGCCCGATTGCTCTATGCCATGTAGCGTACAAGCTTTGGACCCAAGCCAGGTACAACCTGGTGGCTGAATGGATGGCCCGCTTTGAGCTTGTAGCTCCGTGGGACGCGGCCCGTCCAGGACAAGCTTGTTTGGACATTTCTGTCCGCAGAGTCTTCCTCTCCGAAATCAGCCGTTCGAGAGGTTTAAGTCGGGTGAGTATTTTCATCGACCTCACGACTTTTTATGAGACAGTCGAGCATGAGCTGTTGATCCAACAAGCCAAAATCCTGGGTTTCCCCCAGGTCGTCCTCAATATAGCGCTCCAGATATATCGAGGCGAAAGACTGATCTCCTCCGAGGGTCGAGTTTCTCACCCCTTATGGGCCAGCAGGGGCATAATGGCAGGCTGCCCCATAGCCCCTGCCCTGGCAAAGCTGGCATTGTTTCCCACTTGCCAGAAAGTTTACCAGTCGAACCAGATCCAGTCCATGGATGTATGGCTGGATGACATCTCTGTCGATGTCGAGCACCGCGAACCGCAGACAGCAGCAAGGCAGGCGCTTGCAGTGTTCCGCACGCTTCAGTCGGAGCTAGGAGCAGCCAAGCTGCAGCTCAGCATCCGGAAGTCCGCTTTTGTATGCTCTGATGGGTCTGCGGAAAAAGAACTCCGTATCAGGAGAAAGGTCAAAGAGCCGCAGGTGCAAAGTCTCGTCAAAGACCTGGGGGCGGATTCGTCTGGAGGCCGAAGGAGGCGGGTAAAGACCTCAAACAGCCGCATTCAGAAAGCGGTCAAGAGGAGCGCCAAACTTCATCGGTTAGGGCTAGGCCAGAAAAAGCATGCGATTCGCGCTTTTAAAACCAGCGCCTTTACGGCGGGCACCTGGGGGCACCAGGCCCAAGGGCTATCTCCAAAGAGAATGAAGGTGGTGAGGGGAATGGCGGTGTCCCACTCCACCAGACTGGCGCTTGGTTCAGCGGACGTGGTCTTTGATATGGGCGAGTTTAATGTCCAAGACCCGGTTATCCGCATCGTTCTGGAACATTGGGACAGCCTAAGCCGGTGCGTTGCTATCAATGGCCCGTGTGCGCCACGCTTTCAACAAGCATGGGGGGTAACGTGGAAAAGACTTGCGAGAGCGGCTCACCCCTGGAGACTAGCAGCTGGCCCGATCGCAGCTATGGTGTGCTATCTTCGCGACATGGGTTTTGAAGCTCCCGCCATGGAAGTCTGGTCGAGGCCAGACCTCACCATTAGACTCGAGTGGGGAAACGCCAAAACGGCACGGCAGGTGAAGGAGCAGCTGCGTGGAGCCATGCTGCGTGATCGTTGGGGGCGAATTGCAAGCCAGCACGGCGGCGGAGGAGCCGAGCATGGTTTAGACTGGTCGACCCACAGGAGCCTGCTGAAAAAGGCCAAAGGGAACACTCTAAAGGTAACAGGGCTACGCATGGTCTGGCAAGGCGCTGTAGCCTTCAATGGACATGGCGGGCACGCGGTGTGCACGAGGTGCGGTGGGCACGACATTGGCCCCGACCCTGAGTGGAGGAGTAGGGTGGATGCACCAGAATGTTTCTGGCAGAGAGGGCTAGTCCCAGCCCCGCTTACCAAGCACCCTGACCACCCTCCCTTGATCCTTGAAACCCTTGTTGAAGGAAACCTTGAAGAAGCGGCACAGAGCTGCCAACCAGTCTGGTTTGGTACAGACGGATCAGGAGGACCACAGGCCTCCGATCCCAGGCTCAGAATGGCAACCTGGAGCTTAGTTGCCATACAGCGCAAGGATGGCCATCTGCCGGCATGCTGCTGGCAAGGCCCGGAGCCGGATCCGGCCTACAAGATTGTGGGGTATGCGGTGGGGGCCCTTCAGGTAGGTTTCACGGTCAATGACGCCGAGTCAAAGGCACTTGACTTCCTTTTGGGCCTGTCCAACCAAAACAATTTTGTTGCCTGCGATAGCAAAATTGCGCTCACCAGACTTAAAAACCCCAACGCCCATTTCCTTTGGCCTAGTATATGGACCGCAGGTCAGGATGACCGTAATAGATTAAAACCGGTCTGGACAAAAGGGCACTTAACCAAAGAGGAGCACGCAGCCAGGCATGGCACAGGCTCCCTATGGGCCTGGGAAGCCAACAGACATGCAGACTGGCTGTGCGGTCAGAAGGCCAAAGAGATTCTGTCACAAGAGCATGTGGCAAAAGTCAAGCAAATTGACAGCACTGCACGAGAGATCTCCACTTTCTTAGGAAAGCGAGCTGAGTTCCTCCTCGCCAACTGCCCGCTGCCCTCAGCTAATGAGGTCAAATTTGAGAGAAAGGCTAAGGCCAAGGTCGCGCCTCCCTCCAAAAAAGGACCCAATAAAAAACAGCTTCTTTTGCGTGCAGTCAAGGAGGCGAATCCTCAGACCATGCACAATTGGAAAATCTCTAGCGGAGAAAGCACCAACAACCTGTGCATCAAGTGCGAAGG